ATATATCGGAGATACGGATATTTCGAGATTTAGAGATCCTGGTGCGCAAGAAGGCAGGCAACCATAGAATAGATTACCAATAAAGAAGGATGAAGGGATACAAATCGTTGATTTTGTCTGCTATTAATAATATCTTATTGTGTGGTGACATAATTGCGTAATTTGATTGCATTCATTGGCGGTTCTAAGGATCATCTGAATAGAATCGGTTTTTGGAATGTTATCTTAAGAATGGTGTTATTGGAGAATTTAGAAAGTGAACCGAATGCATCGTTCCAAGAAATGAATTCCATTGAGAATGTGTCATTTTGAATGATATGAAGAAATCACCAAACATCAATATCGCATAGCAACAGCACATTCGGTGATAATGATATTAATGCGAATCATAAATTGAAAAAGAGAATGGTGTCAGTAACAGCGAATGAATGACAAAATTCCACAATTCCAATCTTGATTATTTGTGATCGATCGCAACAAAATTGATTTGTTAAGTCTTAATTTGACATGATATTTCATTGATATGCAAAGATTTTTGGTCAAGGCAAAGATTTGATTTATGTGTATCTCTGCTGAATCGGGTTATCGTAGTTTTTATCATGTAGTAGTTTTTAATGAATGCCGAAACAATACAATGCTTTCTCGTCAAAGCTTATACATCGTTCTGTAAACTTGATCATTTTATTTCTCGAGGAAGAAATTTATGATAGGGCACATTTTGGGTTTCAAATGATTTTTGTTTCTCTGTTCAGTGAGTATCGAAATTAATGTTATTTTACTGTGTAAACTATTTTAATTTCTTTTATTGTTCCGCCAATTTGCATCTGTCAATTGACGTTAGAATTCGAACAGTTCAAAACAGATTCATCTAGATTGTGAAACAATACATTTCACAATTGAATTATTGCGTAACAACCCATGCAAGTCTTCATTTGTTCAGTTTTTCTCTTGCTCAATTCTATCAGCGTTGTCACCAAATATTTAATCTTATTTGTAGAGATAAGTGGTGAATTTATGTTCACTCCTTAGATTCTTCTTCTCGTTCATGAGTCACGTTCTGCCTTAACTTTATCATTTCGATTGACATCCGTGCAACTGATAGGATCATTTTTCTTCGACTTTTTTAGAAAGCAATCGAAAATTTTTGAACCGTCAACTTTTCCAATGATTTTCCCAACTCAATGAAGTTCAAACATATATGTTTATGAGTTAAATGCATCTATGTACTCTTTTAATCGTATACATAAGTACTCCTCTATGTTTATGAGGAAAACACAACATATGTTCTGTAGGCATTTTTTTGTGGAAGTAGGCATTCAATAAATTCCTGTAGATGTTTTTTGTAGCCGTGTGTTTTTTTGAAAACATGACGAATCGAAACTGAAAAAGTCACTTGTGTTGTTGAACAATAGAAAGGTCATCGAAGCGAGATTGAGCGATTTTGTTGCTGTTGTTAATTTTCTAGATTGACAGTTCAGATAAGTATCATCATCGTCATCGTTGTTGTTGGTATTGAAAAGAACGCGAGTGCAAACATTAATCTGAGTTGATAATCTGCGCATCTGATGCATTCCCTCAATTCCAAACTGAGAAGATTAACCTCTCGATTATATCTTTCCACTCGTAAATCGTAAATTCCTCCTCTTCATCATCACCAACCAACACAATCTCTTTTTTTTTTGCCACCACTCGAACACATTGCACGACGCCGCACACTATCAATCGTATTTGCACATTCCTTAGCGATTATTCCACTGTTCCTTGCTCTCTCAACATTTCTTATCAATGTTGAATGTGTCTTTTTTTGTGTGCGGAATGCAAACAATTCAGCGATAATCAAGGGCACTGCAGCAGCAGCAAAAAGATCATTTGCGATTGCTCCGAGAAATGCAATCAAAATCGATTATCGAAACGCAAAATTTCAAAGCTCGTGAACGCAAACAGACTCTCTTCTCGTTGATTTATGTCGTTTGCTTTCTCAAACGGAATGGATCCCATTCTGTTTGAGAAATTCTTGCAAATTCTTTGTTGATTCATTGAGAATAGTTCTCGATTGCACCATTTCAATGCTGATGACAAAAACGATCATTGATGTTCGCGCAAACGAGTACCGATTTCTCTGCAATTATAATCAATCATCTGAATGATTTGCTTTGCTTTTTTTGTTTTTCTTGAACAAAAGACACAAAAAATTTATACGTCAGCAGCAAATTATTTGTCCTAATAAGGGGAAAATCTGGTTTTTTTCCTTTTTTCGAAATTCTTGTGAAACGTCCGTTATTTAATATGACGCAAAATTTCAGAATACCGTTATTGAGAATCGACCATTTTTGGTTGTGTATCTTCGGGTTCGAATCTACGTTGATAAAGTGCAGTTGATAAGGTGACTAGCGACACACAATGTTTTATCATTAATTCACTTTTCATGTTCAATCAATTCATATTGGTTGAATACGTTCGGCGGAAAAAATGAAAGTCAGCTTTCATGAAGGAAGGAAACCATTTTGCATAAAAGTACAGTGTTCAATTTGATAAAATGAAATCTTTGGCGCAGTGTTGATTTTTTTTTTGTTTGAGATGTCCGGTAACTCTGCATCACTACTACCTCCAATTACGAGAAAATCTTCTGGATCAGTGGTCCGGATCGAATTCGGTCTCCGAAGAACGATGCTGGGAGATGGCTGCTCTTGCGTTGCAAGCCGATCATGCTAGCGGTGATCTGTGCAATGAGCAGTACGTTATTTCAACTCATCTTCACTTAAACACAACATCGATGTTAATGCCCAGTCATGACCGTTTGAAAAGGAGTTCTTCTAAGGAACAATCTCGTTTTTTAACGATAGTGACAGTCGCAACATTTGCAATAGGAAAACTAATATCAATGATAATATTAACGGAATCATTGTGCATGTTGAAATGCAACGCAAAGACGGTTTAAATTTGAAGGAATTTCCGTGCCGAGCAGTATTTTCCATTATGGGTGATCAATTTACGGGGTTTGGATTTTGTTCGACGAAATATGCCCGCAATGCGTCGAGACTTGAGGCAGTGCTCTCGAGTTGATGCAACCCTTGAATATTGTCACGAAGCGTCCAGGTTCGTGGTACTCTCCTCATTTCGCTTATGATTCAGTTGTATATTATGTTAACGATAATATAAGGTACGCGATCACAATTGCAAACTTCATTCATTCTCATTTTAGGAGTCCATTCGCGTTGAATTGCCATTTGTATGGACTGAGACGACATAAGATGGATACCATAGATAATGCAATTATAGGAATAACACCGCGGTATGTCTGCTCACTTCAAATTTTATAGTTAATTTGAAATTTGCCTTCAATTCATTCTACTCTATCTGGCGACTTTTTTCTAATTAACGACGACCTTTTAGAGGAATTGATATGTCTGATGTGGGTAACGATGGTGAGCGTATACCGTTGCGGAGTTGTCGATGGGATCAGATGACAAAGTTGTGCTTCGATAAACGCAAACTGAGTATAACCGGAGTGGATGGTGCTTGCGTATCATTGTATGCACAGTCCGATCAGAAAGCGCGATATTTGCTGGAATTCTGTAAAGCGTTGCATCAGGCGCAGATTGCATTCAATCGACATTATTTGATGAATCCTTATGCATATCGTAAGCGATTTTGTTTGTGTCTTCGTTCAGTTGTTTTCATTTCTCGACAATTCACATACCCGGTTTATGGCGTTCCCTAATATATGTCCAATCCTTATTATTATTATTTCCGGTTCAAATATGTTGTGTGTTTTTCTCATTTTGGCATACAATTGTAAACATGTGTTGTTTTGCTGTAATTCTTCTTTCTACTACTTGTAAAACAAAACATTTCAGTGTTTTTTCATAACTTGATTCCTAATCTTGCGTTATTGGCCGTTTCCTGATATCTCTTCCAGAGTCCACTTCTTATGGTTTGCAATTCAAGATTGAATCGAGATTTCAGGCCCCGATGTCACATCACCGTTCTCGTGCGGTGATGAACGAAGTGTCGATGGTCCAATTTGCTCTAGGCGCTCATTACTGTCGCATACATCCAGCAACAGCACATCTGGAGTAGTTTCGGATAAACCGTATAGTGATGCGGATAAAGGTGCGTGATGATAAAAAAAGATAGTGTTCATCATGAAACCACTCTCCCGTATGAACGCTTTTGTTCAACAGCACCATCCAAAAATATTGTAAAAGAGAACCAGCAACGGTGACATGAAGCTATTACTGTTGCTGCATATTGCTCTGCGTTAAGCCGTTATTCATGCGATCTGTTCATACTTCACTTTTTTGATTACAAGCCGGTGCATTGTTTCACCAAGACTACACTTGAAATTATTGATGACTGGGTCAATTTGAAGTAAATTATTCTCCTCAGTAAATTTGAAGTAAATTTTCTTCCTCGTTTGCCAATTATTCTCATGAATGTGTTCCATTGAAGAAGGCGAATGCTCGGGTGCCTCACGAGTCGCATCCGAATGTTCCTACGAGGAGAGTTCCATACGAACGCAGTCGCTGAGCGATGTGGTTGCTGAGATCGAACGGCGATCTGCGTCGTTGATGAGTGCAAATACGAGTGATGACGATTCATCGACTGAAATCGAAACGAAACCAACGAAGTCAATCAACGACACTACTCAACGAGACCAACACCATCACCAACAACAACGACCACAACAGCAGCAAATCGGCACTTCCCTGCCGTCGTCGTCTTCTCAGCACAACACGATGTCCGTTTGCAGAACAGAATTTCTCTCATTCAGTCGTTTTTGTCCGAATTTTTTTGTAACTGGTATTGTACTTGCGATAAACTCTGATAGAAGCAACTTCCTCTTGAAGTATTTGCATAAAAATAGTGGAAATTAATATAGAGCAGCAGCAGCAGTCGTATTTAAATTCAGATGCAGCTTTTCGATTGCAATTAGAATTTATTCTCTTTCATGATACAAATGAAAATTTGTGTTGTAATGTATCCGTCCAAATCCGTTGACCAAACGAGATTCGAAAAAATTCTCATTGTCAGAACACAGAATTCCTTAAATTGTACCGATCGCTCTTGACATTGTGCAGTAATCAGATGTTCGATCTGTATCATAGGGATCGCCGTAACTTCCTCATAATTGTAGAACGAGTGTTGAATCAGCGCAAACTGTCCAATCTGTCAAACGAGCTGATCAGTTCTCGTCGTCGTCAGCCACCGTACGTGAGACAATAGATCAACATCAACCCACTGAAGCCGAATCCAGAAAGCCTTCAGTACGTGATCCATTCAATAAGCAAACCGTATCCATATTTGATATAACTCTTCAGAATTCTCTAAAATGTTTTCGTCGTTTTGCATGCGCGATCATTTTATAAACACTTTGAAAATAAGCAAAACGATTCACTAATTTGGAATTTCTGTTTGTTCTTATGATTGCTGTTAATAGATCGGTACGCATTCGCTGGCTCGTCAGTCGGCATCTTCGGCGGATTCTGGAGAGATTACGACGTCTCGAATCGAGAAACGTCCATCCACAGATTCAGATTCCAGCAGCGCTCCGCCTGCACTTCCGCAGTCTTTACCACCACCGTTGTTCCCATCTGCCACTACTCTACAGTACAGTGCGCCGGTATGTAATTTTCGACATGGCAAGAAATTACTCGAAATAAGATTTTTTCAAATGATTTCATTCAGTGCTCAAACTTCCAACTAATCGACCGTGGAAAATTGCTAGCTACTTTCCAGTTCTTGTTCAATGATTACAGTCGTATCAATTCCTTATCCATCATTAGCTATAAGAATTACAACCAAGTGATTCCATCTAACACATTCACTCTATCGGTCATTATTATTCACAAGCGGTCAGTTAGTTATGTGTGAGTTTTGTAGCGATTGCAGCCAGTCGGAACGTCCGAAACGGACGCACCCGTAGCGAATGCTCAAAGTGTTGGATGTTCAAAGACGAGATCAAATAGCCGAGATACATCCGATGTTGCGTTGTCGAATTTACTACTGGCGAACAATAGGCTGGGAATCCGTCAACCACCACACTACAACGAAGCGATATCGATCACGTCGAAACGAACGAGCACGGCCACCATCAACGATGAATACCATTCAGCGCAGCATCGACCGAATGTGAATCCGAATCAAAAACCACGATGGACAACTGTAACTGGTACCGGAATTGCGTGTGCAGCAGATTGCATCACGTCGAGATGCGCAAACGACGGCTCGATCAGTAATGATATCCTCTCAACGTGTTCACCACCTCTGCAACATTCAGATGCACATTTGGCTCGATCAGAGCCGAAACTTGATCAGAAGGTGATTCAGTTGATCACAATGGTTTCATTCCTTTTCTCCCCTATTTTGGTATGATATTTTGATGCGATGCCTTGGCCATAACGAAACTGAATGGTTGGGGCAATGCAGTCATATGAGTTGTCTGTTTGTATGCATGAGCCTCTTTTAGCTTACAAACGTCAGTAATCAGTATGCATGTGCAATAGTTGCAATAAGCCAGTGCAACTGAGTTAATGAAACGCTCATTTGCACTGATGTATTGCACCTAATTGTAAGTTTTTACNGATGATTAACGACTCAATAGCGGATCAGTCGAATTTTTGTAAATAAGCGATTTTCAAGATTTGGTCGAGGCCAGTATCGCCGTTAGTATCGATGTCGCCATCAAGTATGGCACCGGTGATAGTGGCATCAGCACGACCGACTCCGTCGAATACGCCACCATTTCCGGGCGGCACTCCCATTGGGGCTGGTCTCTTCCAGAAGCAGTCTCGATCTGCGTTCAGAGTTGCATCTCAAATGCACAACAATGCGCGTGGTATAAATCGAGTACAAAGCATGCCAGCTCATAATCCACATCATTTCCTGCAAAGCGTACGTCCTTTGATTCGGCCTTTTTGTCCAACCATGTGCAAGCAATATTACTGAATAACATTAAAGAAATCTAAGGCAATTCAATGAATGTTCTTCAGAAACATATTTAACTAATCCCATGTTGCGTTGCCGAACAATTAATTTTCAATGTTGAAAATTCAAATTTTCCGTCAAAACTCCAAAAATGTTTATGTAAAAAGCAATGGTTCAGAGTGGTGAATCCGAAGTGTCTCCGTCAAGTGCAGCCGCATTGCATCATGCGCATTCGTTAGCTGCTCGTCCAGTGGCGCTCGAAACCAAACAGCCTCCATCTTATGAACATGCCATTTTGCAGGTATGGTCATTGCTGATTTCTTTGATTCATTCCATTCAACATGTCACATTCTAATTCAATTACGTACGAAATCCCTCTTGCTCCTACAAAGATCTTCAATGATGAATGCACGTGTTGGACAAAAATTTGTTCGGTTTCAGAAATAATCTTCAGTGATTTCGTTTCAACAAATACGTTGCTTTATATATATACTTATATTCCTCAATTAATGGGTGTTTGCTGTTCAGGCTCGTGCAAGGTGTGCGCATCGAGTGAGTGCTCCGAACAGTGTGAACAGTTGTAGATCGGTGTGTGAACATGAGCTGTTGAATGAACGACACTCATACACCATGGATAGCAACGATAACGTTGAAGATTTGTCACTGAACAGTCGTATCGGACAATTTCCAATGATGCGTGCTCTATGGCAAGAGCAGCAGAAAGACATTGCCTCAGGTGTGGCGACTAACTCGTCGCTGTCCGTGACAACAACGAACACCAGCGCTCAAACGCCACTGACCGCTTCATCGGGATCCAGCGGACTGGATCGGCTGAGTTTCAGCGGTTGTACAGGTGATGCGTGTTCATCGATGTCATCGGTGTGCAATGTGGATCTGCTCGATTCGTTGTTCACACCGCATCTGCGCAGACCATCATCGTGTCAAGACCTCTCCTCACCGCTCATCATAACACCACCACATTCCGCACCAATGCATCCCACAACCACCTCCTACATCAACAATAATCCATCGTCAGCAAGCCAGCAGCTCATTCAACCGTCCACCCTCTATGGCTACGGTTATTTTCCAACGTCGGCTGCTGCCTCGACGTATGGCATAAGAACAACGCAAATTCCACCACCACCCATCTATCGTGGTGAATATTATTTCGATCATTCACCACTCTACAGGCACTATGTACCACTTCAAAACGCTACAGCGATCACACAAAATAGGTATGTAATCCCAACATATTGCATTTCATTCGCTTGCATTTCACCACTCTCTGTCTTACATCTTTTTCATGCTTTCACTTACTTGATTCTTTCCCCAATTTGTCTGTCTTGGTTTTGGCTTGGTTGCATCAGTATCCATCCACCTAATCACTCAGCAATCGATTTCATGAAGATAGTAATTTTTTTCGGGATCATTCCCACCAGATTAGGGCTCGAGTTTAGCTAATGACTGCCAGCTGTTACCTTTTAGATATCATTTGCTACTCATCTCTGATCAGTTCTAGCTCTAAACACAGTGAGCGAACTGCCCATTAAGCATCGTATTTTGTGGGAAGAGGTTGTTTTTATTGAGTTGCGGATAACAAAAAAAAAGATTCACTTCCAATTATTGGATTTACCGAAAAATTCACAGAGTACCGTAGATGAGCAGATGATGAATTACGGGGATGGCAGTGAGAGGACGCAACTAACCAACTGAAAAATGAAATCGCCTTTGTTTCGGTTCTAACATGGTTGTGGTGTTTGATATTTTACTGCGAAAAAAGTAGCAATTTGCAGAGCGCACAGAGGGGTCCCTGAGGTGATTTCAGCGAAAAGGCGTTCCAAACTGCTGCCTGCTCCAGCGACCATTTCAATCTATGAGGAGCGTTTGTTACAGTGACTCACTCATAAACAAACAATTATTGCTTTGTTCTTCTTCTTCACACTTATGGTGCTCATTACATGATTATTCCACGTTTATCATTCCATAGATTTTATTCACTTTGTATACGTTTCTTATAATTCGTAGAAGTGTTGTTGTCTTATCATTCGTAGAAGCTCTCCATCTGCTCCGTAGAATATGTTTAATTCATCCCTTTTGAAAAATTTCGATGAAAATCAAAATCTTTGGAATTTCGTTTTTCACTCCCGAACAGGCGTTGTTCTGGCTTACGAGCAGCTTATTTCCAGAAATGATAATACTCAGTAGGAGTTTGTAGGTGTCAGTCAATCAAGCAACCATCTTGTTTCCCTATTCAACGTAATTTTCATGTAGAAGTCGTCCAGGCAGTAGCGCCTCTTAGTTTGAGTGACAATTTTGAATGATAGCGTCCACTCGAATTTATGCTTAATCTATTTATCTTCTTCTTACGGCTTACTCATTTATTCATTTCCCGTCAGTTGCTCACCTATACCACAGACATTCACAATCAGATTTGCATAATTACTTCCATCTGATGGTTATTTGATCATTCAGCCTTCAACGTCAATTTATCAGGCTTATCGCCATTAACGAGTATCAAATCAAATCATATAGCATACATCCACTTATTTCGAACAATCGTTTAAATATGTAATGCTTGAATAGTAATTGCATTTAAGTGTTGTTCATGTTATTCACAACATGATACTAATTCCGTTAACGTGGATGTAACCTTCTAAAATCAGTCACCACGAATAATGAACCACTTTGTAAGAATGCATAAATCAACAGGAAACAGTGCGATTCTATAGTCGCAAGAATTCTATAGTCGCAAGAACTGAAAGGAATATGTTCATTTACATTTGTTTAATTAAATGAGCATAGACCAGCATTGACCAGTTGATCAGAAAAGTCTTCATGATTATCGCTTTATTTTCGTCTTGAACGATTAGTATTCTTTGATTTTACGCTGTATTCATGGAATCATTTGTTTTTTCTAAACTGAGGAATAATTTCAGTTGGACTCCATCGCAATCGGTATTGGATTTGCCACCGCCTCCACCCTATCCTCCGCCACGCACTTCACCGTCACCTCGTGAAGCGCCGATGGTTATGTGATCAATTAGTTAATTAATTCACTTGATTAATTGACACTGACAGTGTTTGTTTCATTCGTTTATTCATAATGAATAGCATCACTCGAATCTAACTTCAAACCAGCGCTAGCATTTGACTTACAAATAAGTGTTCATCAAAGAATATACCCATCAAATGCATGAATCCCTTATTACCGTCCCATTACTCCAAAAAATTCCAGTACTGTCTCAATCAATGGTATTCATACAAATGAACACATATGAACATAAACCGAACAATGAAAAGTTTCAATTGAGGTTTTTTCCAGTGTCAGAATATTTCTTGAAGCCAGACGCTTGCTTTTCTTGGGCAAAATGAATGAATTCAGCAGAAACACCTAGTTCATTATAGTTCTCCGAATAATTGCTTGAATGCTGGTGCGTTTCCGTGGTTGTTGTTAGATTGCATTATTTGTTTGTTTTGTCATATTTTGTGTCACTGTCGAAGATTTCAAAAGAATTTGATCGATACAACAAGCCAGTTGAATGCTGATTTTTGTTCGATTCTAGTTCACCCATGATTACCTCTGAACAACATTATTCATTAGTAATTCGTTTATTTATTTTCTTGTCGTCATATCTACTTAAATTTTGCTTTTTTTAAATTCATCAATTGCGGTCAATACGATTATTTATTATCATTACACGTATTATTATTATTACTGTTTGTTTTTTTTTTCATTTTGTTGTTACGTTCACTGCTGTTACATTATTATTGTTAAAAATGTTCTTGTTTTATTCTGTTTGAGAATGATTTCTAAAATACCTGTAAAATTGATGAAGTTTCGATTTTTTCTTTATTTTTTTGTAACGCAATCAAACAACCCAATACATTTTCACTGCTATTATGTGTGATGATGTTTCGTTCTTTCAATTGACTTCATTCATTCTTTCGAAGCGAATCGACATCTGATATCGTTTATCAGTTTGATCACTTATCATCGTTTGTTCATATCATTCGGGTTCTTACGTCAAATATTCCCGTATTGGAACGTTTGATTGAATTGTTTTTTGTTTGTTTATTTGTTTGGTTGTTTATCAGTTCTGATATGATTGATGTCTTATCGTTTTTGTGAATATTCTTCGTTTTATTCGAATAAGACAGTGAGAGAAAGACAACTGCTAGAATTTTGTTTACAATTGCATTTTCTTAAATGCGTCTATGGTGCTGCTCATAATATATTATTGAAAAGTTTATCATTTGCATTTCTTTAGAAGAGAATTATTTCATTGTTCTGTTTGTTCCTATTTGAAATGTATTAAAATGTTTCTGTTTATCGCTCAGTCGTATTTGTACGTATATAAATTAAGCATATAAAAATGATGATTGTTCACGTTGACATTGTTCTCGCATCGTTGGTGATTCATTTTGGTCTGTTTATCTGAACAACTTATTTGGACATGACTGAAAATACGCATAAATAATGACTTGATTCATGGGACAGAGTATGAGTATGGATAGGTACGGCGAAAGGATGTCAAATAAATGGACGTGAATATCAGTAATCGAGAAAGCACGTTAACGTGCGATTGTTTGACGATCAACAATAAGCGAAACCCACTTCACAAATAAAAGCGTTCCATCAACTTTTATGCGAAGAAAATGAATCGAAGAAATGAATCAATATAGCATTACAATGTCATCATATAAGACGGTTAACTGTTGACATTATGAAAGTATCGTAGAAGTGAAAATAAATCGCCAAACACTTCAGGAACTAGTCGACCGAACAAACAGCAGAAAACTATATGAGAACAATAGAAAGCTATGAGAATAAGCATTAAGTATTTATTATCAGTTTAGCAGATGACAAAGTTTTTCAAAAGCATTCGTAGATGTTTCCATTTGGAAAACTTACAGTAAGCATGAACAATGATGTAGATTAAAAAACGAACAACAAACGTTTAGTTCCGTCCACAAATCATAGATCAATGATTGAATATTGCTCAACGTGATATCATTTCCGAATTAAGCGAAAAATACATGATCTGATTGTATGCGCAGACGTTCTCATTGAAGAGGGCTCATTGGGAGTTAAGGGAGTTAAGACCTACTGACTGAAACGCTCTCAAGATGTTAACGAGCGCTTCTGTCACGAAGGTTTATTCCGTCAACTAAATCACCTCTTTTTTCATGCGTCAACTGAATCTGTTCGTGAACATATTCGATGAATGCAGCAAAGCAAAACTGATCTTTTATAAAAACTTAACTCATGGTCATATCAGTATCAAACTTTTTCCTGTTCAGTTTTCGCAAAGACATGAGGATATGGATCGTTTTGGAACACGAAGCACAATGTGAGCTGAGCTTTATTTGAAGAATATTTTCACTATGAAAACAATTCAGGAGCTATGAGCCAAGAGTATAAAAGTGCAATATAATCGTCATTAATACAACAAAATGAACGATTACAATTGAAAATCCACTGATTACTTCGCAAAAATTGATACATATATTTATATATATAT